TCGGAGGAGCCGTTCGGGTCGGCCTGGCGCGGGTGAGGGGCCGCGGGCCCGCGGAGCCGCCGTCGCTCTGCATGACTCAGTGGTTTTTGGAGGAGGCCGGGCTGGGCTTTTCCGAGCGAGGCCTTCGCGCGGAGTGGGTGCGGGGGCACCATCGGGACGGTACTCGGGCTAAATCCTGTGCAACATGGAGCCGGAGCTTACCTTTTCGGCGTCTTTTAGTTTTTCCGACGTCTCTGTGCTTCTCCCCCAGGATCCTTTTCAAGGAGGAAATGGAGCACCCTTTCCTTTGTTCCGTGTATTTAGACTGGTGAACGAGGGGTTTTTGCTCGCTTTCCATGCATTCTGTCGAGCTTGTTTTAGAGAAAGCTTTGGGTTATTTTCATTGATTAAGACTCTCCAAAGACTGGAGAGGTATTTGATAAAGTACTAAATAGGCCATAGAGTTTTTAAATCGAAGATTTGGATAACTTTTAGGCTTACAAAGTAATTAAGTTTCCTTTAAAATAGAACTTGAGAACCTTCACTGGTGAAAATATTGCAATTTTTTCAAGTTTTTTTTTTTCCTTAAAATGTCCAGCAATTACGAAGGGTTCGTTGTAGTTGTATGTATTTATTGACCTTTGGGCCAGATATTAAGCCTGGAAAGGAGCGTTAAAATCTCCATTTGGCAGAAGGAACAGATCTGGAGGGTAAGGACTTGGCCAAGGTCACTGACTTAATTAGCAAATTAAGACTAGAACCCCTGTCACAACTCCCACGTGAACTGCGGGCTTCCTTGACATCTTAGAAGATTGTGGGCACCTGAAACAACTATTCCATAGGTGTAAAAACCTTAGTTAGAAAAGGCCACAGAACTTTTATTTTTAAAAAATTCATTTGGGCTATGCCTGGTAAAGCTGATGGATGAATGCTCAAGTGTCTAACAACTTTAAAGATAGTAAATAGAAGCTGTTTTCTTTAAAAAAAAAAAAATACACGGGAAATGAAATACCTAAGTGAATGGTCCCCCTCCCTACATAATTAATTTCACCTAAATATAATAAATCTATGCTTTCATGCTATTTCTTTTTATAAAGAACCATGACCATATTTTTAGCTTCACGAGTGATTAATGATACTTAGATTTTGTAGCTTGGTTTTGAGATTGTTCTGAAACCCACCCTGCCTTAGGAACTGACATCCCTAATGCTTTTTTTTGTTTGTTTGTTTTTTGCTTTTTTGCTTTGTTTTCTTATTTTGTTAGATGCAGAAATGCTGCATCTTTAGTTCTTGGGGTTGTGTAGGAGTTAGCAGGCTCTGAGATATAAATAGAAGCTGATTTCAGAGGCCCCTGTTGACTAGGCTTTATGTGAGAGCCTCCATCCAGCTCAGCCTGTCACATTGCAGCCTTGTGACAGGCTGAAGCGCCCTCCCATGTGATCTAAGATTCTGAAAAATATTGAGGCAAACTGTGCACATGTGGCATTTAAAAGCTGGTGTGTCGAGGGGTGGGTCCTAAAAGGCTATGTAAAAGATTCTTATGTCCTGGTGTCTCTGAGTTCAAGATTTATTTATAACGAGTTGAAAGTACATGTTCTGAGAAGAAAAGATGTGTTTGTTAAAGTGGGTGAAATCATTAGATGAGGCCTCATTTGTTTCCTTAAAAATATTGTTTTGTTTAACTGAATTTCGTGTTAAGTTGGTCTTAAGTTTAGGAGAGTGCTTTCAAAGTAAAATGGCACTGAAAGTGTAGCAACTGAGCGAGCTAATTCCTAAACTGGTTTTAAGGAGTGTCACAACTTTTGTATATAGGGCAGATTACCGTGTGCAAGGTGGGAATAATGCATAATTTATTATTTTATTTTTTTTGCTTCTGTCATACTCTCTATTTAAAGATTTCAACTAAAACTTTATCAAGTTTAATAAGTGATGCTGAAATGTTTACACTACCCTGCTCCAAATGAGTCAGCTTAATTCCACTTATTAAAGAGGCAGTGTCAACCAAATTAATACTGTTGTTCTAAGTTGATAATTTTAGTCATGCTACTTACTAGCTTCATTTGTTTGAATGGAATACCATACTGTTTAATTTACAAAAAGATTGCTATCATTTAAGTGAGGGGGTTGTCAATATTCTGGCCAAGTCAAAATTGGTTATTCTCCTTTTCTCCATTTTTTATTTTTGGTACTTGGGATCAAACTCGAGACTTTGCACTTGCGAGACAAGTGCCAAGCAGGTGCTGTGCCACTGAACTATATCCCTGGCCCTCCTCCATTGTTATAATTTTAGTAGAGTTAATGCTTGACAAAACAGGGTTTTAACTCACTGAGTGTATTCTAATATGTGGTAGTTGGAAGTGAGCCACCACAAGTTACATGGTACAGAATTACCCTTTAATAGAAATCCTCTTAAATACTGCTTTTTATATAATGTTTAAATTATCCTTATTGTCTATCTCTTACCCTGAAGAAAACTTACTAAGAGCAACATTACTATATTTGCACTAATTTTTAGTATTGCTTCTAGAAAAGCAGAGTTATACTCACTGTATGGTTTCCTGGTTACCTTCAATTAAATATTAATCATTACTAAAGGTTATATACTCACACTGCTTTATTGTATTAAATTTGAAATTTTTAAGAGAATGGAGTATTTGGCTTAAAAAACAATTTGGTTAATTTTGTGCTTTGTAGATTTGTAGGCACTGGCTTTAAACAAAAAGAAATGCCTGTGCCTTAGAATTGTGAAATTACTGACAAGACTCAGATATGTCCAGGTACAGCTTTAAGAAAGCTTTCAGACTAAATCAAATAGCAAGTTTAAAAAACAAAAAATATCAAGAGATGGTGATTATTGTATGCCCTTTCATTTGGAAATTCCATTTAACAGTGTTTTTAGCCAATGAAGTAAAAGTATCATTTTACTTGATACCGCTAAGAGCTCAGAAGGTAAAATATCAGTTTCCCAAATTCATTAAAACAAACCTGATGCTGGCAGGGTAATCCTTTTGGAAATTCAAGATTAATAAGAGTGCTTTTTTTGCTTCTAAAGTAATTCATGTTTTTTTACAAAGGCAACAGATACCCATAATTATCTCTGCTTTTGTTAGTATTGGTGTATAGATATAACAGGTACCATGGTTGACTGTATCATGCTCCTTGTATTTTGGTGGCAGGCTAAAAATTTTATTTTGTTTTTGTTTGTAGCAAACAAGAATGGCTCAGGAGACTAACCAGACCCCAGGGCCCATGCTGTGTAGTACAGGATGTGGCTTTTATGGGAACCCTAGGACAAATGGAATGTGTTCTGTTTGCTACAAAGAACATCTTCAGAGACAGCAGAATAGTGGCAGAATGAGCCCAATGGGTAAGTTGCATCCAAGGAAAAAACACTTGAAGAACTGGTGGACAAAAATGCAGAACCAAGAATTGATGCCTGAAACTGAGAATGCTGAAAGGCAAGGAAAGAAGAGATAACAAGAGCTTAAAATTAAAGCAGCAGCCCAGTACTTGATTGACCCTGACCTCATCAGGAATATCTACAGGCATCTTCTAGCTTTTTCCATTTTCCTTTTGGAGGTTTTGTATCATACTTGCATTCACTGGATATGACTTTAAATTATTTTGTGGGAATATTCACGTAAATGCAGCATTGCAACAGAGTGAACATACTTAAATCACTAACATAATTAAATGCAAGTATTGTTACTTTATTAAGTTAATACAGTTTTTATAGTGATTTGTTTCTTACAAATCCTTTTTTTAAATAGGGACAGCTAGTGGTTCCAACAGTCCTACCTCAGACTCTGCATCTGTACAGAGAGCAGACACTAGCTTAAACAACTGTGAAGGTGCTGCTGGCAGCACATCTGAAAAATCAAGGTAAGATCTAGCATTTCAGAGTTCTCTGATACCGTGGAGAGGAAATGAAGATGTCTGTCTTATATAATATGCCCTTGGCTTTGCATGCATTGCACAATTAAGGATTTTGGTATCCTTTAGTATCTTAATTTTTGGGTCATATAGTGTATGTCACAAAATACTCCTAAACACCCCTTCAAGGAGTCTTGAAAAAGCTTGGGTTTTTTTCCCTTGTAATTGAAATTAGGAATTGTAGAGAGTGAGATTTTGCAGGCTTTTACAGTGCTATACAAGGTGTTTTGTTTGACACAGCTTCTCCTTTATAGGCACAGCTAAAATTTCTAGTTAGATATAGTAAAAGATGGTGACCTATAAAAATTGTAGCCTTGAGTTGATGAGCTTTCAATAGCTATCAAATAGCTTTCTTTATCCTCAACTATTTATATTGGGCATCCAATATCTTTTTTAAATTTTTGGTTACCTAGCTTCATTTGATCATGTTGGAAATCACGTTATAAAAGTTGAACTAACAGCTATCTCAAAAAGTTACCTTAATATCTTTAAAAATAATTGTTTGCTTGAACTCAAATAGAAATGTGCCTGTGGCTGCCTTGCCTGTAACTCAGCAAATGACAGAAATGAGCATTTCAAGAGACGACAAAATAACTACCCCGAAAACAGAGGTGTCAGAGCCAGGTATGCTTTTTGTTTAATACTAGTTCATTTTGGGATTTGGTAGTATGAGAAACTTCGTAGTGGGATTCTCTTCTTCCCATTGACCAAAGAAGAGGGAGAGCTATAAAAACAAAGAACCATTATCTGTAACATGTTTGATGATTAAAATAGTTTTGCGTTTTTACTCTTTTCCTCTGCTCATCTCCATTACCTTCATACCTACAATTTAAAGTTGGTCATCTCAAGGCTGGGTGTCTTAGGAATTTAATAAACTCAGATTTTGAGCCTATTATCAAAAGCAGTTCCGTCTTGATGTATCCGTGTTGTAGAAAACAAAACAAAAAATAAAGACACCAGAAGCGCAAGTGCAGGAATCCTACATTTTGTAGGAGTTTAAAACTTCTGAAAGAGCATTTTGGTTTTTTAATAGTGACTTTGAAGAGTGCCCTAGTAGGTTGTAAGAATAGTGACTTGTTAGAATTAGCTTTGTGCTGTTTATTCAAATCAATTCGTTCAGTTCTTAAGAGGGGTAATAGAGTGATATGAAAATTGTGACAAAATAATGGTTATAGGTGTGCTTTGGAGGCTTGCTCTTGTTAACGGTGTTGCCAATTTTATGTCTCAAAGTTAGGGTTAAATCCTTTGGGCATGAAATGGCAGGTGAATCTGTGGTACTTTGAAATGAGTTCCATTCTTTTGAAGAAATTGACCAAATTAGTTGTGATATATACCTTTTTTATAATGTAAAATTACTTCTGAAGCATAGTTTTAGGTTAGTATCTACACTTGTTACTATTTGGCAGACATGTAATTCTGTACACATTTTTTGTATCGTCCCCTACCATAGGCCACCTTGTTTGTGTCTTGATGTTTTTTCATATGTGGGTAAAGAAATGGATGACACCACCACTCCCTGATACTCCCCATTCTCAGCTATTTACCTTCAATACCATCAAAGAAAATAGTATCAAGGGTGTCATTAATTAATAGCTTATTAGGGAAAAAGGTAGAATTCTGTTCGTGTAAGTCTAATATTGTGCTGTTGTTGGTCCCAGTGGGTACATTGCTAATGCAAGTTAATGATAGATAAATTCAGCTTGCTCTAGAAGTTTGGACATGCTAATGGCATTGGTGTGCTAGTGTTTTGTTTAGTCACTGAATTTAGGATTGTGTATAAATTTGCTATTCTTAAGGTTTGGAGTAATAAAACTTCAGAGTTTACATTGTTTCAGATACATGGTTAGAAGTAGAAATAGTAAATTTTGATGTTTTGGACATAATGGATTTAATACAGTAGTCTGAGTTTTTATATAAAGTCTATTGAAGTCAAATATGAACTAAAACAGCCTTTGAGAGTGGAGAAAAGGGTGGGACTTTTGTAGATTTCCTCTTGCTTATTCAGAGTAAATTTAAAAATTAATAGTTGTGCTTTTAAAAATCCTGTACTGTGTATGGAATCCTTAATTTTAACACATCAGAACTTCACAAGCACAAGATTTTCAAGACTGTTTACCACTTTTTTGTTTTGTCCTGGAGAGAGTCTCACTATGTACTCCAACTAGCCTTGAACTGGCAGTGTTATTCCTGCCTAAACCTCAAAGACTGTCTTTTTCTTTTTTTTTTTATCGCCATAATTTTCTACCTATGACTGTACACTTGTGAAAATGACAAAGTAATTGTACTTGTGCTGAAACTTGGATATAAGTTGATTTAGGGATTATTGGCTTGGCAAAATTTGTCAAAATTTGCTGATTTCATTCACGGTTTTTGTTTTTATTTTTTATTCAGCATAAAATAAAATGACTTCCATATTTCATAGCCTGAGCCTTCAAAGTTGATAGCTTTTATTTATTGAAAAGTAATGAAGTTGAACTGTGTTGATGTTGGTGTTTAGAAAATTGCAATACGAAAAAACAACTAAGCATACAGTCAGTATCTGTTAGGTCTTTAACATGGAATTCACTTTTTTAAAACACATGCGTGTAAAAAAGCTGGCTAAGTCTGAGCTGGAATTTTTTTTTTTTTTTTTTTGTACCAGGGATTGAATTTGGGACCTTGTACTTGCAAGGCAGGTGGCAGAACCACTGAGCCCTGGCAGAAGGAATTTCTTATGCGGTCATTTCTTAAAAGTTAAAGGAACAAGTAGTGTGGGTATTGGAAGGAAAGTCTTAGAATCATTTAAAAGGTCCTATTGTAAAGCTTCAACTCCAGGAAGTTCGGATATACTAATAGTGTTGATCTGTGAATCCTAACCGTTTCTGTCTGTTAGATGTGGGTTTTTGTTTTTGTTTCCTTTTTGTTGTTAGATCATTGTCAGCCTGTGATTTCTGGGCAGGTTTCTAAATTTTTACCCTTCCTTTTCAGTTGTTACTCAGCCCAGTCCATCAGTTTCTCAGCCCAGTACTTCTCAAAGTGAAGAAAAAGCTCCTGAGTTGCCCAAACCAAAGAAGAACAGATGTTTCATGTGTAGAAAGAAAGTTGGCCTTACAGGTATTACAAATACATAAGACAACGTATATTTTAGTACTTGTGCTTAATAAAGAACTCTTGGTCTTTCTATAAAGGACTGGGCAGTCTTACATATTTTTGTAAGGACTTTGAGGAATAAAAAGTTAATAGAGGAGGGCAGAAAAGGGGAGAGTGAAGTAGGGTGAAAGATTGTAATTTATTTCATCCATCTAATCCCATAGTTATAACTTTAGGCATAACTCTTAAACACCTACTTTGAGCTACACTTAAATGTTCTAAATATTTTCTACATTACATCTCAGAATTTTGTGGTTTATTTTTATCTTCCTTTGAGAAGGAGATATTACCCAGTTACCAAATGGTGTGGCCAGGTTGTATTTTGAATTGAAATTCAGCTTGACTCTAGAACCTGTATAAATTGTACCTTGTGAAGTGTGTATTAGAGACGATGGAAGGAAAACACACCAGGTAAACTAAGCTGATAGGTAGTAACCCATCATATTTTTTTGAACATGGTTTGGCCTACCAAGCACTTTCCCCTTCATAGTCCCTATTTCTCTAAGAGGGTAGGACTAAGCATAGTTATTTATTTGAATTTCTCACCATATCTCCCAATTTAAAGTAACAGACTTTATATCAAGAATTGACAGTCTTTCATGTTACAAAGTAATGAAATATGGTTCCTTTTCTATACTCAGTGGGGCTCTTAATTACAAGTTCCCGGAGTGACATGGCCTTCCTCTTGTTTGTACAGGATTTGACTGCCGATGTGGAAATTTGTTTTGTGGACTTCACCGTTACTCTGACAAGCACAACTGTCCATATGATTACAAAGCAGAAGCTGCAGCAAAAATCAGAAAAGAAAACCCAGTTGTTGTGGCTGAAAAAATCCAGAGAATATAAATTAGCACTTGCGAAGAGACTGAAACTTTTGTTTTTATTTTAATATATCGTAGGAAAACATTAAAGAGCAGATGCATGGCCATTTTCCTTTGATGTTCTCCAGAGTTTTACTTTACACTTGTCTGTCTTATAATTGATATTTTAGGATGTTTGGGTGTTTGTTACAGGCAGAATTGGATAGATACAGCCCTATAAAATGTATATGCCCTCCCCTGAATAAAACTGAATGGAAATTGCACAGCAAATTGAAATAACAGATAATAGGGAAAAAAAATTTAGTTCCCACGTGCCAAACAAAATAAATCTCTGCATGTTTGCAGCATATCTGCCTTTTGGGAATGTAATCAAAGTATAATCTTTGGCTAGTGTTATGTGCCTGTATTTTTTTTTTTTTTTTTTTTTTAATGGTACACCAGAAAAGGACTGGTAGTCTACTTCTACCATAGTTAAACTTCACCCTCTTAATTTCCACATGTTCTTTGGAAGCAGGATGAAAGCTGTAAAGAAGGATCAGACCTTCCTTTCTGTGAAACCAGTGTTTGGTGCCAAAAGTAAGCCTAGTTAAATTGGTCTTGTAAAAGCTGTCAAATTCTGTGAAAGGTATACATTGCAACTGGTTATAAGTAAAACCATCAAGCCAACAACAGGGTGTTGAGATAAACCTTTGAAGCTTGCTGGCCTGCACCAGAAGATGTCTGCATTATTCTCATTACTAAAAATGTGTAACACAGAGCTGCACTAGGATTAATCACTTTACAAGAAATTAAAACTACGTTTGGTTTTCATATACAGCAGCTCTATTGAATAACATGCATCTGAATTTTTAATTTGCAAAGGTATCTGAACAGTTAATTTTTCATGTGCATCTTTTGTTGAATGTTTTGGTTCAAGAAAGAATGTTTAAAGCTTTTTTAAAGACTTCAGTTCTTAATGTAATTGTACCCTTCTGCATGGAAAATCATAACCAACATGGCTGCAGTAGACTTCTTAGTGGTATCCAGCACCACTTGCAGAGGGCTGCTTTATCATATTAATTGTACTTGGGTGTAGGACTCTAGTGTTCTTGGGTGTATTGCATGGGCTGCATTATCTACAGCATTGTACAATAACAACTAGAAAAGGCAGTATACTTCACTGATGCTTGTCTGGTAATATCACTTCTGTGTTATAATGGAAGGTTTCCTGTGATGTATGAAACTTGTGTTTTTTATATATAAATGAGTATAGTTAGTGTTGTGGTAATGCCTGTTTTCATCTGTAAATAGTTAAGTATGTACACAAGGCACTACTTTTGATTTATTGCAGTGTTTGGTCCTAGTTTTTACTTTTATTAAGGCATTCAGTTTTACTTTCAACTTTATGTACCTTAGTTCCAAGTTAGATCTGCAGATGTGTACAGATAGTTCATATTTATGTATTGCACATAATCATGCTATTCAGCATTGATGCTATATTGTATTATGTAAATAATAAAAGCCATGTACAGAGGGAAACTTTGTTCATTGGGTTTGTAAGCCTTAGAATAATGCAGGGAAAAAGAAAATGTTTCATATTCAGCATTATTGTTGCATATGTAGATTTTGCATGGCTATGGTGTAAATTTTATTTTCCACTGGAGTACTTGAACTCTTGTCAAGTAAACACCATGAGTTTGAAACATTTTCAAGTATGGTACATAAAAGGCAATTTATTTTTGAAGAGCTGAACAGGCATCTTTAGGATCAAATTCTCAAAACATTACCTTTTTTCCATGTGCTTTAATCTATTTCTTTTATGATTAACCCTGAAGAGGAAAGTAGGCATGATTTTGTTTACATAGAGTCATTTTATTTGGGACTTTGGCTCTAATAAAGGGATGGGTTTATGGACTTGGTCTTTTTAGTTTTTAGGGCAGATAAATGAATTTAACAAGCTGCCCTGTTTAGGGATGGAATGTAGCAGGACAGAACTTAACCTGGTTCACTTACATCTTGTCAGCTCGTGTGGCTGCTTTTGCTTCCAGTGGAGGTGTTTGGGGTTGAAGTCCATGCACTAATGTGGGTGGTATCAATATCGAGGGTAGTCAGTAACAGTGGAATTAGAAATAATAGTATTTTGAAAGGGAACTTAGTTTTCCTGTTTTAAAATAAAAGACCCCATTAGTGCTACCTTTGTCGCCAAGAAAATTGGTATGTTTAAATCTAGCTTAAAAGAACCAAGACTTAGAAGACAGCCCTGAAGCTCCTGCAGTTTACAGATGTTTCTATGATGATCTTTTTACTAGGAAGGAGCTTTGATTGGAAGGGAACATGTGAGATGACAGGAGGAGAGGGAGAGTCAGTGTTAAGCCCCTAAGGTGACTGGTCTACCCAGACTCTTGAATCATACCTGCGAGTTTACTCAGTTCTGACTATAAAGGCTTTAACTAGAGTGTTAGGCTGCAGTTTTAAGCATTTTAACACTACGGTGTTTCTCATAAATCTTAGCTCTCCACCTAAAGTTTCCCTGAAATGGGCCAAGAGTGAATTAGCTGTATGACTAGGCTAATAATTTTTCAAGTCTAAATTTTTTTAACTTTTTGGTACTGGGGATCGAAATGGGGTCCTTGTGCTTGTGAGGCAAGTGGCACCACTGAGATAAATCCCCAGCTCAAGTCTATTAAGTGAGCCTGCTCTGTAAAACCGGGGTCTTAGTTTCGAGTTGGGATGGTCTTTCCACAAAGGATTAGTTTGCAAAGGAAAGGTGTGCGTTTTAACAGGGTATAATGGGTTGGCGGTAGAACTGGATTACCTTGACAAGTTATTTTAGGTTGGCCTGGACTACTTGTTCAATGAGGGTGTAACTTCAGGAATGTGAGCACACTACAATAAAACTGTATAGCACATAGCACTTGCTATTGCTAATTTTAAGACAGGATCTCACTAGTTGAATATGGTCTTGACCTTCACTGTATTACTTGCTGAGCTTGCGATCTTTCCTCTGCTTGCAGTGTTGGGATTACAGGTATGTGCCACCACTCCCAGCTCTTGATAATTTTAATGTCCTAAAATAATGATTTCTAGAACTAGGAAAGAAAATCAATTTAAGGAGATTGGTTACTTCAATTTCTAGAGTGAAGATACTAAATTTGTGACTTTAAGCCTTAACATAATTGGAGTCTGCTAGCCTTTGCAGATGTTTGTGTTAAATGCAGTCCCTAGCAAGCAATTAAAATTGGGCAAATATCTACTTGATAATAATAGTAAAATAGTACTTTATTTTTTGTATTATAATACATTCACATGCTTCCAAAATGAGTTTAAAATGCGTTAAGCACAGCTGCCTCATTTTAACATGCCCACTATTCTAAAGGCACGCATATTTTAGGTCAGTGTCATAGGTTAGGCTGTTTGGTCTCTTCCACTTTATAAATGTTTGAATGTAAACAAAAACTTAAGATTTGACACTTGTCTTTACTCGAATATATGAAATTTGTGAGGTTTTTGTCCACAGTATTGTAATTTTGGAGAGAGATGAATACCGTTGCTGACTTGATTAGCAAAATAATGACCCTTGAGTTCTAAACTGGATTAGGCAGCAGGCTTTTAATGAAAAGAAACTTGAAAATTAACAAAGCAATTTAACGTTTGTACTTTTAAAAAGAACTAAATGTATGTGGCCATATAGAAAAGTGTCAGTATAGCTGTTTCTACACATGGCTTTCAGTTTATGTAAAAGTAAAGAGCATTGTTGTCTCCCAGAGTGCATTTCTCTCAGCCCTACAAATACATAATTTATTTTGTGCCATAATTGTAAATTTATTCTGTTAAATGCTAAGTGCTACTTTCACTATGGGTGCCAGTGTTGCTAAGTCATATTGCACATGAGTAAATTGAGAGAAATTATAGTAATTGAATAGTATTAATATTTTCCCTGATTTTAACTGTCACCACAGAACCTCAGATTGACTATATCATCACTTACAAGTTAATAGGAAATCTTTTCTAGCATTCTGAAATTTCAATTGAGTGTAGGAATTGTTCCCCAAATCAATAGCATTTACTTCAGAACTTACCCTTTGGAGTTCAGGCATCACCCAGGGAAAAAAAAAAAAAATATGTAAACTTACCCTGTATGAGTTCAGCTTAAACATTCAAAGTGGACTTACTCTCTTCCCACTTCACCAAAAGTATGTTCAAACCAATTTGACTTTCATTTTTATTAGTACATGTTTGCAATATGTAATGATTACATTGATTGTGAGGAATTGGTACATGGACATAATGTCTCAATTCTTTCCCTCTGTCCCCACCCCCTATATGCCAGCATTAGATTCATTTATCTTGTCCTTATAAAGTTAATTACACATACAGATTAAGAACCAGATTAATACGTGTAAAAACACAAAAGACAATGACTTCTAATGTTGAGATTTTGCACTGTTTTTTACTATTACAAAAATTCCACAGTAAAAACCTATAATACTTAAATAAGAATGGGTAAAAAAATTTTTTTAAAAATGGGTAATCTGCCACCTCATCCAGTAGCCTTTATCTGAATTTAAATATCTACTAAAATGAACTACATTTAAACAAGCTTTAGTTTTAGCTAGACTTAATTATTTAGTTGGCCTGTCAATTAGATTGTTTTGTATATTTTGGGCAGCATAACCAATTTTATCACTGGCTATATTACATCACATGAAAGATAAAGACTCATGAGGATTTTTTTTCATACTTTTACTGATACATGTTCGCAATACATAATTGTATTTCTCGTGGGGAGCTGTTAGTTGTACATAACACACCTTAATATTTTTTCATCTCCCCCTTCAGAGGTTTAATACAGAAAACAATGTTACCTATTCAGACTAGATTCAGTCCACAAGCATTAAGATATAATGCATTCATATTCAGACATGGCTTTTTTAGCATTCAGGTGATAGGCATGTTTATGAAATGATTTAGTTTTGTTTTTATACCAGGGATTGAATTCAGGACCTTGCGCCTGCAAGGCAGGTGGTGGCACCACTGAGCTAAATGTTAATTAATGGCCATGGTGGCACCACTGGCCATGTTTATGAATATTTAAAAGACAATCATTTAAAAAATAAATTTTATTGGTACAATTTATACATAATGATCATACTCATCAAAAGGAGTTTGTAGGGCTGGGGATTTAGCTCTGGTTCAGTGGCCTGCCTTGCAAGCACAAGGACCCGAGTTCAATCCCCGGTACCAAAAACAAAACAAAACAAAAAAAAGGAGTTTGTACCTTTACATGATATAGCTTGATTCTTTTTCTCTCACACCCTTCCCTCCCTTCAACCCATTTACAAAAGCTTTGTTTCCATTTATTTTTTTCCTTCTTGATTTTTTCCCCCTTGCCCCTTTCACATTTTCCCTTTCCTTTTGAACAGTTCCTTTCTATTTGCCCTTTCTACTTCATCTGAGAAGTGTCTGTTCATTTCAGACGCCCAATCTTGGATTGAGTCTTTAAATTTGGGGGGTGTCTTTTTTTTTTTCAATCCTTTGTTCCATCTGAGGGGCTACTAAAAATTTCTCAACTCTGGATTGTCAATTCTTGGTGATTTCTTTTGCTGTGCAAAAACTTTGATGAGATCCCAGTTGTTGATTCTTTGCATTATTTCCCATGCAGAAAAAAAAAGGCTTTTAAAGTGGACTGAAAAGCTGGCTTCTGTGGTGCACACGTGTGATCCCAGCACTGAGGAGGCTGAGGCAGGAAGATCGCCTCAAGTTCAAGGCTAGTCTGGGCCACAGAATGAGTTCAAGGGCACCCTGAGCTATAGAGGGAGGGAGATGGTAATTAGAAATTATCACACTTAAAATGTGCAGTATAAAACAGATGTAACCACTTACAATTTAATCCTAAAAGGATTATACTGATAAAAAAATACTAAAATTTGCTAAGGATTATATGAGTAAATGGTGTAAAGTCAAAAGGAGAACAGGTTAGTAAAATTAATTTTGATTCCTGGGATCTGTTTTCCAGGGTGACTTTTTTTTTTTTTTTTTGGTACAGGGGATCGGACTTGGGCCCTTGTGCTTGCAAGGCAGTCAGCAGAACCAATGAGCTAAATCCCTGGCAAAAATTTTCTTAACAATAGATTTTCTGTGGTTTTAATAAATTCAAAACAATTTTAAGAAATTTTTTTCCTATCCTTAAATAAATTTATATAATATTCACTAAGAACAATTTAGAAAACTTAAGAAAGGTCTGGTTTAGGTTAAATAAAATTTAAATATTTAAAAAGCCAGACATGGTGGCACACACCTTGTAACTCCAGCATTCAGAAGGCTGAGGCAGGAGGATCACCTTGAATTCAAGGCCAGCCTGAACTACATAGCGAGACCGTGTCTCAAAAATAACAGAAATAAAATTGTTTAAACAAAACCTAGAAAGTGTGAATTTGCTCCTAGGAGTTCTTGAGAACATGTGAAAGGTACAGCACTCCAGTACTGCAAATGGTTTATTTCATTTGTACTTTTTAATAATACTTAAAATTCTTTGAGAA